GTTCTAGTCTTCAAACAATAAAATTCAGCGGGCAATAAGGAAGATCGCAGTAGAAATCAGCAACAAAACCCAGATTTTGGTTCAAAAAATATGCTCTGATACCAATTTGAAACGTGTTGGTACCAAAAACAGCAAAATACTCCAAAGGATTCCACACAAAAATAGATTTTTATTGATAAAAAAATAAATACAAACCAAGCAAGATACAATAGTCCTCTTTCGAAAGGAGGACCGTCTCTCCCAAACACTAGACGCCACTAGGATCCCTCACACAAAGAACTACAGCACTCAAAACAAATTCTGCATAAGAATAAAATAAACACTACTATAGACTTAAATAAGCTTCTCCTTTCCTCCTAAACCAACCTCCTTCCTAAAGTGTTTCCCTCCTCAATTTGAAATTCAATTAGAAAAGAATTTCCTAATTGATTTCTCCTAATATAATGTATTAATTCCTACTTGATTTCCTCCTTATATAATTCATTAATTTCTTGCTGGGCCCCAACCCCCCAACCGCCACCCTCTCCTTGTCCGTCGACACCACCTGCGCTAGAATTTGCGGTTGGACCGGCAGTAGGCCTGCTCCAAGCGGACCCCTACCTTCCGCCGTATCACAAAGATAATAAAATTATTCTAGGTAAAAATTTATGTATCTGATATCGCTTATTAATTTTAAACTTTAAGATGAAATGACGGAATATGAAAAATAAACATGTTGTCCAAGAATTAGATGGGAACATTTAAAGAACATTAACAAAAAATATTTGAAGATTCAAGATATTAAGATTTTGACTATGCATAAGAAAGCTAATATTATGCAGAAAAAAAAAGTAACTAGTTGTATTAAGAATATTACAAATGATGTATTTAGAGTATCAAAAAGAAAAGGCCATAATAATAAAAATAGTTAATGGTAAGATCAAAATGTGCAAAAAGAGATATAAAATAAAAAGCTCTGTTATAAAATTGGTTTGAATGTCAATGTGTAAAAAAATTGGGAAATATATAAAGGGTCTCATAAGTAATCTAAGAAAGCAATAGTTATGCAAAAAATTAAGCTTTTAATGATTTATATAATAGATTAAGGGTGAAAGATGTATGTATTAATTTGACAAACATAGAGATACGAAAAATAAGGATTTAAAAAAAATAAAAAAAAAGGATTTAGTTCAACAGAAGTGCATTAAAGATGAAGATCATAAAGTATTTTTATTAGAAGAGGATATTAAACAAAAATGAATGAGATATTTTAATAAGTTTTTCAATGAAGATTATGAGAGTACGATTAACTTTAATGACTTTATCACCTTAAATAAAAATAGAGATTTTTATTTTTTATTATCGTATTAATAAAACAAAATTTAGAGAGGCTTTAAATAAAATGAAATGTGGCAAAACTATTGACCTGATTATATTTCAATAGAGGTGTAGAAATGTTTAGGACATCAAGGAATTTATTGGCTTACAAAAATTTTCAATATTATTTTGAAGACTAAAATGATGTCAAATGAGCAAAGGAGTGTGTTGATTTCTATTTTAAAAAATAAAGGTGATGCACAAGAGTATGAATTATAAAAAATTAAGTTAATGTGTCATACTTAAAACTATAGGAGAGAGATTGTACATAGATTACGACATGATACTAATGTTTCTAAAAATCAATTTGGATTCTTGTTGGGTAGGTCTACTATGGAAGTTATATATTTATTAAGAGGTTAGATAGAGAAGTATAGAGATAATAAAGATGATCTACACATGATATTTATATATTTAGAGAAAACATATGATAAAGTTTTAAAAGAAGTGCTCTAAAGAGTTCTAGAAAAAAAAATGAGTTAGTAATGCTTATATTTAAGTCATTAAGGATATGTATGCAGAAGTTATGACTTGGGTTCAAACACAAGGTGATTTGACAAAGTATTAATTTATTTAGGTTGGATTACATCAAGGAGCAACTTTAAGACTATATCTTTTTTGCTTTAGTCATGGATGTTCTTACTAGACATTTATAAGAGAATGCATCCTAATGTATGCTTTTTGCTGATGATATTCTCCTTATTGATAACTAAAGAGGGAATTGAAGGAAAACTTAAATTATACAGGTCAACCTTACAGTTTAAAAATTTTTGTTTGAGTAGACCTAAAATTGAATATGCGGAGTGTAATTTTTATAGTAATAGATATAGTGTGAAGAGTATGACTTTGGGCGATCAAGTCGTTAATAAGAGTACATATTTCAGATATCTTTGATCTATTGTTCAAAGTTATAGTGAAATAAATGAAAATATTATCGTTATAATTCAAATTGGATAATTGAAGTGGAGGAATGCATTGGGCTTGTTGTGTGATAGAAAACTACCTCTCAAACTTAAGCAAAAATTATATAAGATGGTGGTAAAACCTGCAATGTTTTATGATGTAGAATATTAGCCATTAAAAGAGAAGCAAAAAATTAAATTCAGTGTTGAGGAGATAGGATGCTCAGGTGGATGAGTGGCTTCACTCTTAGAGACAATGCAAAACGAGTATATAAGTGAAAAGGTTAGCGTAGCTCCAATGGCTGAGAATCACCTTAGATGGTTTGTACACATAAAACATTGGCCTTCCAATGACCCGGTTAAGAGAGTAGATGTAATATCCCGATCTTACCTAAAATCACGAGAAAACATAGAGAATGGAGTCAGAGGAGCTTGCTCCATCATTTGAGTGTGCGTCGGTTCTTGTTCGTATATAGAAGATGAAGCAAATGCAATGCTCCTATTGCTTGGCGTTGTGGAAGCCAAAGATGGAGAATTCTAAAAAGCTGAAGTGCTGGCCGAAGGTGAAGAAGACGGAGGACGAGAGGATCTTTTCATCACTTGGTCTATTTGGTTGAAGACTAATAGGTATTCGTTCCGTTGTTTGGAGTAATGGAGACGAAAAGCTTCATCTCCTAATAAATTTGGAGTGAGAACGAGAGCGAGAATGAATAGCACGATCTTGAGTGACAAGCATGGGTAAGTAGCACAAGCAAGGCTTGGAAAAGGTAAGATTTATTTATAATTTAAGAGGTAAGGATTTAATTTGTAATTAGTAAATAAAGAAAAACTATTTGAGAAACTAATAAATTATAGTATGATTAAAATGGCTAAAGAAAAATTTATATAAAAAGAGAAAGATAGGAGTAATTTAGGAAAAGCATATTAATTTTATTTTTGGAAAACCATAAGAATTATAATTGAGATTAGAATATTATTAACATTAACTTTTAACTAAAACAAGACTAATATACTTCAAAATTTATATGAAAAGAATATTATTTAATTTAAAAGAAAATGACAAAAATTATTACTATTTTAAACGGTGCCTCCTGTGACAGTTGTATTAGTTACAGAAAAGATTATGATATGATTATTGTATACATGCATATAATATGATTTATGATCTTTTTCAATTTAAAGATCATTAAAAAAAAATTATTTTATACTTTATTATAATTTAGAAATATGATATACCCATTGAGTTGTATCACTTTATATTTGCAAAACATTTATAGATATTCTTCAAATAATTTAAATAAGTGAAAGATGAGAGAATGTGCATCGTAGGCGTGATGCACAGAGAAAAAAAAAATATTTATAGCATTTTATTTAAATGCATTTGAGATTGTAAAGGCTCTTTCAGTATATTAGAAATATTTTTAGCAAATGAAATTTTTAAACCCATTAGATCGTTTGTTCCAGCCTCATTAATTTGAGCCTCTAGGTTAAGATCATGAAAGTAAATGTATTGGATTTGGCCTATATTAAGAAAAGAAGAGATAGATCTAAAAAGATTTGGCTAAAAAATATCATAATTAAATTGTTTGTATTTAATTGACTCTTAACATGACACAATGAAGAAAAAGGATTCATATAGCTGATCCCAAATAGTGAGATAAAGGCTTGATGTTGTTGTTATATATTTATTTTTTAATCACAAATTCATATTATTGCAGAATTATTACATTCTTATTATATCATTTATTTTTTATTTAAATGATTTTAATATTTATTAAGTCATCTAGTTCAATCCCAATTGAATCCTGGTCGAACCATTGAATCTTGAACATCTCATTTTTCCAATTCATTGTTTGGTCCGATTTTCACAACATTGCTCATAACTCTTCAATATAAATAAATATCTTTCAAGACCTAAAGCTTTATTATTATTTATCTCCCCCCCCCCCCCCCCCCCCCTCCCCCCCCCTTTTCCTTTTTTAATTTATTATGATATATCTCACTACTTTTGTTCATTATGCATTCATCTTCAACTAAGAACATATTATCCTCACTTATAATATTTTTAAATTGATCAAAGCCTCTAGATCTCTTCTCTCTTGCCTTAACTATCTTACATATCACAATTTTTTCCTTAGTACAAATCCTATTATATAAATCATAAGAATCAAGCCATGTTGACCGCATCTTTTGAGAAAGCTGTTTATTCCTTGCCTCATGACCAATTGATCATATCTTAAAAGTCATACTATATGTACTTGAAATTGGATGCATCCATATGAGATGATTTTAGATCAGCCGGTTTAAATTTAATGAAGATAGTAGCACAACTGGCAGGGTTGTTTCCATAAATGGTAATTTTTTCAAAATTTTACAAAGCATGCACATTAGCCAGCAAAAGCTCGCAGCAAAAATCAGTGTAGTTTCTGGAATGCCCAAAACTCCACAAAATACTACTAGGATGACTAAAATCGACTGGGCAGTCCAAATTAAACAAGACCAGCAAAACTTCAATTATTTTAGAGACTCCAATCATAACTGATTCAAAACAACAATTTCAAATTGGTTTTCAATATTTTTAAAGCATGATATTGAACTTTGCTAGAAGGATCATCTTCACAATATTTCATCCTAACATAATAAATGTAAAAATACCAGGAGGATATGTCTGTTTTTAACAATTACAGCATCTGCAAACATGTACCAAAAAAGTAAACGACATGAAAGGCAGTGTTTTCTTACTTTTTGTGTCATTCATCTCAAAAGAAACCATTTTCACACGCTGAAATCCAATCCAAATTGCAGAAGGGCAATGAACTGTCAAAGCAGTACATGAGTTCTAATTAATCACCAAATAACATTCCTAAAGCATGCAGAAAATGTAAAATCCATTTCAAACCAAAAGTATCTGTAACATCAATTCCAAAAATATGAACAGAAATAAAAGTAATTAGTCAGTGCATGCCTTACAATAAGATGAAAATGTTAGAACATGAATCACTTCAGTCATAACCTATTAAGCACAAAAACCAACACTGGCATTTAGGCATGATAAGAAAGAATGCAAGCTGACGTAAAAAAAATCTTAGAAAATAAATGAAACAAAACACCATGTATATGATTATATTTACATATATGCATAAAGACATATCGGTGTTTGATAATCAAAAGAGAGTCATGCACATCAAAACATTAAAACTAGTTATGACCGTATTGTATTGCAGAAACTTTAAATTGCGCAAACTGATTCCAATATCAAGAGAAAGTGATGGAGTGGAATAATGAAAGTTGGAATCTTTACATAGAATTAATTTGTTATAAACTCAGTTGCATAGGTTGTTCCTAATTTGTATCCTATACAAATTTGTGTGTGTGTGTCCTATTCCTAGGCATGTGAAAAGGTATCCAACAAGTGCAAGAAACATCTTAAGAAAAAAATTGAAACACATCGCACCATATGTCCAAAAGGTTTCCTAGAGGGTTTGAGTGTCCAGATGTATGACACTCGTCTAAAATGACACAATTCCTCTTTAGAATTGCCTCTATTTAGTAGATCATGAATTGAATTTGGGGTAGTATGGGTAAGCTTAAGTTCAAAAGCAAGTCAAAATGAACAATGCCACTGGCTCAAACATGGATCATTCAATATCTACGCTTTAACTTCATGAAAGAGCTGATACAACTAGTGGAGGACATTAGCAGCAGCAAGGAGAACAAAGTTCAATAATGTTACAAAACATGAGGTGAGGAACATGCAACAACAGCAACATCATGCCTTTATCCCACTATGTGGTGAGAAATATGACATAAAAAATAAAAAGAACCAGCTATATACAAGGAAGAATATGTCATTGAAAAGGGCTATCCATACAAAAGTGGGGCATACCAAAGATATGAAACTCTAGCCAAAGTGGGGACTAAAAAGAGGTCATGAATGTAGTGTAATCCCTACTCATAAATATGTAGTATGTGTATCCACGCTTCAACTTTATGTAAGAGCTGATACAACTAGTGAAGGACATTAGCAAGAACATGGAGAGCAAAGTTCAATAATGTTACAAAACACGAGGTGAGGAACATGCAATAATAATAACATCAAGCCTTTATCTCACTACGTGGTGAGAAACATGAAAATAAAAATTTAGAAGACGCAACTATATACAAGGAAAAACAGGTCATTGAAAAGGGCTATCCATACAAAGGTGGGGAATACCAAAGGCATGGCCAACCTAACCCCTACTCAAAAAAGAGTAGTATGTGTACCACTTCAAAGTTATTAATTGGCACATATAAACAAAAAAACAACACTAATTAACATGATATAATTGCTTGTTTCTATTTCGTAGACCTTGAATTGAATTTGTGGCAGTGTGGTTAAGGAAGAACAAGTCATTGAGAAAGGCTATCCATACAAAGGTGGGACATACCAAAGACATGAAACTCTAGCCAAAGTGGTGACTAAAAAGGGGTCATGAATGCAGCCTAACCCCAACTCATAAAAGAGTAGTATGAGTACAACTTCAAAGTTATTAATTGGCACATATAAACAAAAAAACAACATTAATTAACATCCCCCCCCCCCCCACCAAGTATAGCAATTTGCTTCAATTGATATCAAAGAGGGACTTTTGAAAAGGCTTAAAACTTAGGAGTAGATCCTAAATGGCACACTGGTAATAGCAGCACTTCGAAAGAGCACTATATTACTTGATCACATTTGTTCATCAATATATCATTTAATTTTTAGATTTGATTAATCTATTTATTTTGCATGTATAATTTGGTACAAGTAGGAAATGCATAAGCCATATCCTAAACAATTCCTTTGATGAATAGAACCCAGAAGAGAAAAAAACTAGCATAACTAAACTCAATTTGTTTGTAAATCTTGTATGCATGTTAGAGATATTTTCATTAACTTGTATACAAACTAAATCATACTCATATGTAAGATGTTTCATTTGTGATTGTTTAGCTTCATTTATCCTCACATAAGAAATAGATAGTTTACCCTAAATTATCTCACCAGTTTTATAAATAGATAGATATACATATATAATCCTTAGAATTCCAAGCATAAAAGAAACAGTTTAAATATTTTTATGTTTACTTGTGCTAGTTCTCTCTTTTCTAGGCTCCATTCATCAAAAGAAATATCTATTTTTTTTACTCAATTTTATAGGAAGGTGTATATCCTACTTGTACCATATTGCATATGCGAAAGCCAATAGATTAAATAATTTAGTCATACTAAATTTTTAAAAAATCAAATAATATATGTCAAGCAAAGATTGAAAGATAATAGAATATTCTTATGAAGTGCTCCTATCAATTTGTCAATTAGGATATACTTTTGAGTGTTAAACCTTTTCAAAAGTAACTTCTCAAATACATATTGAAGTAAATAACAACACCCAATAGGGCAATTGAATTGGAGATACTCTCTAACTTAAATTTTAGTATTTTATATCATTCAAAATCTGAGAAAATTTCAAAGATAAATAGCTAGCAACAATACGATTACGATTACCACCAACTAAGAATAGATTTAGAGATTAATATAACATATAAAATAATCACCCATCGCAAGTTCATCCATTAAGCATGAGTAACAAAAATTAAGAGAAATAACAGTGCAAGACATCAAGAGAAAAGGGAGTGCTAACTGTATTTAATATGGTTCAACACTAATGCCTAGATCCCTCCGACTCAAGGATGACTACTCTCTCCTTTGATCACCATAAGCCAGAAAAGCCCTTCTTTACGGGTACTGGAGATAATCTACTTCATCTTTTACTCCAAATAAGAAAACATATTATACAATATGATATACATAGTACAATGCAAATAGTTTATATTATGAATTAGTCTTACTAAGAAAAAATTATATAATTGTTTCAATTTAAATTGAGACTTGATCCTACAACATGATATAAACTCTACAGTACGATTAGATAAAAAAATAATAATTTTAAGAACCTCCTAATTAATGCAAATTGATCTTATCTAAATTGTTTGAATGTTAGGGCACAACGTTTTGTATAATTGATATCATATTGTACGATTCTTATGATCAATTTGTATTATAAGAGATTAAAAAATGATTTTTATGATTTCACTCATGTGTATTCTATTTTTTCACAAGTCTTTTTACTTGAAATATATTTAAAAAATGACCTGAAATAGAGAAACAAATTACAATACTCAAACATGGCTATTGTAGCTCTCCTCTGGATTATCTCTAACTTGTCCTGAAACTCTGAGATGGTGAATTTTGATCCTAAAATTTTTTGCTTGAGTTATGATCAATGCCTAAGTCTTTATGTTCTAGATTTGCACATCACAGATGAATTTAGATTCTTTTGTGTATAAAGATGGATCAGTCCAAAAAAAATAATATTAGACAAATTACAATTGTGATCATCAAAAGTTTATAATACAACTATATGCTGATGGGGTTAACATAAACCTAATTCTTTAGAATTACTAGTGTAGCAGTCCATTACTTCAACACTTAATTCCATGCAACATCGGCATCACCAACCTAATTGTAATTTTATAAATTCATGATCGTCTTATCACATAATACTACCAAGATACTTTACCAGTTGAACAACCCATGCTTACCTACAAAAGGTACATCCTCATTTATATGTAGATTCTTTTGCATAATAGAGACAAGATATTTAAATCTATCTCATTTAAGTATTTTAACGCTATTATTTAATAAATTTTACTATTATACCCACAAAAATTGCATATCATCTACTTAATCTTTTTCCACTAATTATAAGTCTTTATATTCCAAATATTTTTTTCTAAAATGTTGACTTCTTTCAACAAATGTCTCAATAATTAGAACTATATTCCCTATCAAAAAAATACCAAGACAACTCAATTGGCATAGAGACTCAAACTAACTATAATAACTTCTTTAATGCCTAACACACAAAACCATGCAAATTAATTATTCTAAATACAATTTAATAAAATTGAACTTTTAAGTTCCTACTATATGCTTTTATTTCACAAACCCATGTGGTACACTCCACTTTAACCAATAAACTTTAACACAGGAAATATTGAATTTAAGATGCACCTGTAATACAAAAGATATTACGCATATTGAGAACTTGAGCTACACCTACTGTAACACAAAAGACTGATAACGAAAGGGTCATTTGGTTCAATCTTATTAAAATATCAGCATTATTACGTGTCTATATTATATGTTAAATGATATGTGTTTCATTCAGAGCTATTATATTAAAAAAATGGCAACAAGAAAGTTCATGAGGAATCATTTCCTTTTTGAGTAATAAATCATCATAAACCAGGCTAGCCTATAGAAGAATATAACTATTTTCCTCTCCTGAAGCGACCTCCGACAATACAAATCTGTCCATCGGTATAAAATGTGGAGCACAGTCATTCAAATAACTTACCGATGAGTTGTGTCAAAGCAATACCAAATCCCTAAGGGGCTTTTGGATGCAGGATTTGAGCAGGATTTAGGCTAAATTCTGCCAAATAGGAAAATGATAACATTAATCCTAAAGAAACTTAAATCCCGTTCCTTTTCCGTTTTCCCTTAATCCCGGATTTAGAAAATCAGATAGTTCAGCGGATTCAAGGGATTTAGGAGAAGATGTGCGCCAAAGCCAAAAAGATCGTTACCTTCACTACAAGCTCCCGTCGAGACTTCCGATCCGACGTCGTCAAAGGAGGCGAAGAAGCTTCGGGACTCCCTTTCAAAACGCAACTTCACGCACAGCAAAGCAGACGAAGACGAAGCAGCTGCGAAGAAGCGACGACGAAACCAAATTTTTAGAAGGTGTTTTTACATACATACCACTTTATACCTTATATTTTGCATATTTAACATCTAAAACTTAAGTATTACACAACAACAACTCAAACACAAACTTAATCTCATATCTGTCACTCCGTCAAAAACATGGCTCACTGTGTCTCTGTCGTTATTTCTGCTTGAGATTCGGCGGGAGATGTATTTCGGGTAGCCCTAAAAATTCTTCACCACTTGTATTCCAGCGTGAGTTTTTTCCGCCGAAGCTTTCTCTCCGGCAGCAGAGGAAGATCTCCTCACCGCTCTTCTTACGAAATCGTCTGGATCCGATCGCCAAATCATTCTTAAGCTGCAAATCGGTGAGTTCGGGGAGCAGAGATGGGTTATTCGGTTTGTCGGAGCAAGGGGGGGGGGGGGGGTGACGGTTCTGAATATTGTGGATGCGGCTGCTCGTGAATGTTTGGAGATTACATTCCTTGTTCTGATGTTTTCTCTTATTTATTGAGTTGATCTTGAAACTTAGATTATCTTGATGTGTAATTAGGACTGCTTCACTCCAATATGTCCCCATTAGGTTAGGTTCAATTTTTCTGTAATTTCGTATCTCTACTTCTTTTGATAAAAATCAGGTTTTACTCCTTTGGGTAGATCTTCGATTTTGCTTTCCTTTTTCTACCGTAATAGCGGCTTTAAACTTCTTTGATTAATAGAGTTCCATGAGTTTTATCTATTCCTGTATATCCTTTACTGCCACAGAAATGGTATTTTCCACAATTCCGGTCCAATTGCTAGCGGCAATTTTTTTTTTGTTACAGAATGTTTTATCTGTTTTATCTACCCTAAAATTGTGGAAAATACCATTTCTGAATGTCATGAGTTTTATCTATTTTGCCACAGAAATGATATTTTCCACAATCATTTTTTTTTTGTTACAGAATGTCATGAGTTTTATCTACCATAAAAATTATATCTGTTTTGTTACAGAAAATGTTGGTTTATTCCAAAACGTTTCAAATGAGTTCTACGAATTCGTCCGCTACGAGAGATAGACGCCAATGATCTGAAGTTTATTGTCACTATCACCTGAATTGTGTATTGTACACTTGCCACCGTGGACCTAATAATGGAAGAAAATTTTATAGGTGTGTGAATAACCGAACTGATGACGACTACATATACTTCAGATGGATAGATGAAGTTGAAGATGCATCTTTTGTTATAGACGATGAGCGTAAAGTGTTTGAGGCAAAGGTTATTAATATGCTTGAATGGATGATGTTCTTGATGAAAGTCTTCATTGTAATTGTTGTTGTTGATGTAATCATCCGTTTGTGTTTGTAACGTGTTGTGTCGACTGCAGAAAAGGTTGTTTTTGTTATGTTTAGTTTTGATGTGTTGGTCAAGTGTATTGTAAGTTGATATGTTGAATTATTGATCAAATTTATGCATTATTCTCTCCTGTTTGTCATTGTACTGGAAGCTGTAAGAAATAATCTTAACCAAAGTTTAATTGAACTAGAAAAAAGGAAGATAATCTCAAGCAAAAGGAATTGCTGACTTCATGCTGGACAGATTTCTGTATAGACATATTTCTGCAAGATAGATTTCTGTATAGACAACTCAAAAAAACCTGCAGCAACTGTATAGACAGATTTCTGTATGAATTAATAACGTATAGATTTGAGTTCACGTCATATTACAGAATGGCAAAGTAGCTCAAAAAAAAAAAAAAGTCAGAACAGAATGGTTTATTGTTTGTCTCATTGCAACAAAAGACAGTTACTCAAAATTTAACGTGCAGATTTCAAATTTCTTTGAATCAAGAGAATGGCAAATTCATAACAGTCAATACTTTCAAGTTGTTGATACTGCTAGCCCAAAAAAATTATAACAGTGACATCTTCATACAAAAGTTACAGCTGCTTCCTACTAGCTCAAAAAAAATACAGGTGCTTCCTACTAGCTCAAAAAGTCAAAACAGGGACCTCTTCAAGAGCAGCTGATGCTATCAATCCTAAAATCCAGTCACATATGAGAATCGAAATCTTCAAGTTGATGATCCTCTCCATTCCGTCTGCTTGGCAACTTTGTCCGATTTCTTCGTCCAACTTCTGTACGCAAATTGTCCTTGTTATTATTATTTCGCAATGGATTTTTGCAAGTACTCCTATAATGCCCCCATAAACCACATATGCAACACCTATGTGACCTCTTATCTTTCTACAAGAAATTTAACAATCTTTTTTTCCTAGGTCTTCCTCTTGGTCTACAAGTACTAGGTACACCAACATGTTCAGTATTCTCTGTAACTTGCCAAAGATCCTTTCCGGGTAATGTGGAATTTGCCCCTTCATATGCTAGTTTGTACCTACACCATAGGCAATATGATAAATCAGCGGTTATTATATGCAAATAATTATTCATATGCATATATTTTACCTGTGAACGTGGTAGTAATCATCAACATACGTATGCCACAGCGGGTGTTCTTTCATTCCAATAAAAGCCACAGCGTGAATGCAAGGTAAACCAATTAACTGCCACACTCTGCAACTGCAGATTCTTTGTTCAATATCGATGTTTTGTGAATGTGATAATGCATACTATATTTATACCCTTTAAGCCATGGACATATTTTAAGAATCTCTGTTTTGAGCATAAAAAGATTCATACTTCCTTTCTCAATTTTGACAGTCCTTTGTTTGCCACAATTATATCTCTTTTTAAAGTTATCATTGGTATCAACCCAAAATCCTCCATATTTAATTGTACCAAAAAAATGCCCTTCATTCTCTCCACATAAATCATCACAATCCATTCTAGACAAAGTATGCCACCCACTAGCAATTTCTTTTTCAACTATAACCTGAAATAATAAGACAAAATAAGCACCACATTTTTAGAAAAAAAAATATAAAAATAAAAGAGAATGAGGAGAAAGTAAAAAGAGGGAGATTAGCTAATGCAGTTATGAGGAAAATTATTTAATGCATCATGGCTATGCAGCTAATCTAAAGCTTCTGTGGGACAAAACGGAAGAAGGGATTAACCTAAAGCTTATGTGCGACAAAACAGAAGAAGCCGGGCAATATCAGGAGTGAAACGGAGTGGTAGAACAACCTTTTCTCTCTGCAGCCTTCAGGATGTAGGTGCTTCCGCGCGAAATTTCAACACACGCGCCGGAAATTACGGGAAGGTGAAACAGAGTGAGCGGAGTGAAACGGAGTGGCATATATGAGGTTAAGTTTGTGTTTAAGTTGTTGTTGTGTAATATTTAAGTTTTAGGTGTTAGATATGTAAAATATAAGGTATAAAGTGGTATGTATGTAAAAACTCCTTTTTAAAATAGGGCATATTAATTAAATTAATTATAAAAAAGTAAAAAATAATAAATTTTAAAAAAGAAACAATTCATCCATCTAACAGATGATTAGCTACTGAGATATAAATGAACAACTTACTTTAATTTTGAAAACTTTTTTCTATGTTATCTTCTATTAATGCTAAGAAAAAAATTGAAATGAAATTTAACATGATATTTAGTTTATATTTTTAGTGATATGAAAATTATAATTAAAATATTAATGAAATTTGGTATAAAAAAATGTTATATGTATTAGATTTATTAAAAATATTTTGCATGTTCTTAACATCAATTAAAAAGGTGAGTGGTAAAAAGAAAAAAAAAAGGTTTAGAAGCAATTTCTTGAGTGACTTGCTTGACTCAGTAGCTAGTTGCATGTTTAATGGGCAACTATGCCCTTTTTAAAGTTGTATTTTTGTTGAACCTATTTTATAATTAATTAACTTAATATTCCTTTTAAAATTTGTCCACAAGGAAAAAAAATTCTAGACAGACTAAAGGCTCTACAAAGTGTATAAACAAATGACAAAAGAAAATTTGTTAATTCCAAACTGCTTATGTTATGATATTTGTGTTTTTAATCCATTTTCTGCAAAAAATAAGTGAAAAATCATGAAAATTAAACCAATGTCATTGAACACCAATGATTGCTTGTACATGTATCCTCTCATAGGTATCTTACATGTTACGTTCAAGTCACATGGAAGGAGAACTCTCTCTGGACAGTTCATTCTAGGGCCTCGCTCAAGAGCTGGGAAAGAGCTTATCATTGGAGCACGGCAGACAACCTCCGTCCAAATCCTTTAAGTAATCGCCCTCCCCACAAGGGGAGACCTCATAAGTTTCTCTCTTAGTTGAACAGGACTTTGCTCATCTCTGCTAAAGTCAAGTTTTCTATGTGAGACCTATCAAAAATCAAGATAAAGACACGCATCACGTCCATAAAAACATACTTCTTAATTGGATCATCATCGAGTTCAAAGATCTAACTTATGTCCTTACTTGCCCCCTCTCGCTCCAATGGGGCAACCTCAGACTAGCTTCATACTCGAAGTTGGCTCAATCTCCAGACTTCCACAAGTTCACCCTACCCACACCATCTCTCATAAGATCATCACACTTATCAGCACAGCTGGTTGAGCTATATCAAAAACTAATAGTACGACTCCTATACTCCATAAATATTCTACTATAACTCCCCAAGCCCTATAAAATAGGGGGAGGATGGACACAAAATGGAGAACCAAAAAAGACAATGAGGAAGAAACACGCCAAAATATAGAGTGATTCATAGAGACATACTAAGCTATTTTTTTCCTTCTCTAGCTTAAGCACTGCAAGACAGAGCCTTTGCTCCTCTTATTCTTTTACTTTTGGGTAAGATAATACATATTATGTCCATATCCATCTTCTGCTTTCTTAGTGTCTCTCTCCCTTTTTCTCTTTTCCTTCATCATCCTCACTTATAAGTCATTAGCTCACGAGTAGCCCATAAAGTATTAATGAGCATCATCCACATAATAAATCTCGATTTAACATCTTCTTAGGTTCTATGAGCATGGATTAATGTCAAGAGATAAAAAATTGCTACACACCGAGCAACCGAAAACCTTCATGAACATAATGAATCATGACTATACTACTTATCACGAACTGCAAGAAATTG